CAGGAAGCTGCTTGCCACTGCAAGTTCCATGCTGTCCACATCCCCTGCATGCAGCCCTGTGCTGCCACCCCTGCTGCTACTGCGCAGGCAAGGGACACCTCATGAGGGCAATGCAGAGCTCATGGTGGCAGGCAGCTTCTTGCTCAGCTCTGCTGTTCTTTGCAACTGCAGGTTGCACATGCCAAGTTGTGGAGGTGCTGGGGGAGGGCAGCAGGGTAGGCAGCTGGGAAACCCCTCTGGCAGGGCTGTAGGAGCAGGAGCTGTGAGTGGGGGGTGAGGGGCACCAGTAGGGTTGGGGGGAGTGAGAGGCGGGAGCAGTGCTAGGTGAATTGTGGTGCGGAATGAGGGGTACCAGCAGGGCCAGGGAGCTATAGGAAGAGAGTGAGGGGAAGGCTGTTGTGGGGGAGCTTTCTTTTTAATCACAGATTTTGGGGTTTCTATCAGAGAATTTGTCTTTTTTTTTTTATCAGGGAAAACCAGGATCCCTGCAAATAACAGTTTTTGAAAGACTCTAATCCTTTAGATTGTTTAACCGATATACCATTGCACAGCGAGCTACAGCTATTTTAAAAAATAAATGTAATTCAGTTTGGGACTTTGTGATTTTCAGAGATATTCCTGAGAATATTGACTTCAATGGGATGCTTAACAGTGCATAAGGTGGATTATATGTGTAAATTCTTGTAGGGTTAGGGCCAAAAATGTATGGGATGCCAACAGATCCCTAGAGTATAGTGTTGCTCATAGATGCTCTTATAAATGCACACGCAAGGGCATTTCTTGTGGCTGTTAAAGCATCCTAAATTCCTGCACTTTCATAATCCAAAGTAGGTTTTTTCAAGCCATAACTTTTTAAGTTAACAGCAGCTGAAAATAAATAAATCAAAATTTATGTATGTATTAGTAGCTTATGAAAAACCCTGCAAAATAGTATGCACTACCCTAATTCAAGTTCAAGAAAATATTTATAGAAAAATGAATACCCTTATTTTTTAAAGTTCAGAGAGAACTACTTAAGTGCTTTTATTTTGTTTTGAAAATAATACATACATTTCAATGAATTGTTATTAAATCATTTATCCTTTGGATATGTAGCATTCAACTTTGAAAATATTAAATTGATCCTTTCTTCAGTTTAGTATTTTACCAGTCTATGTACCAACAAGCTGCTAACAAACATATAATTTCTCTTACTGCTACTGTTAAGTGTATTTCATTTTGCAAAAAAAATATGTTGCATGAGACTATTGATACATTAGACTAAACTAGTGGTGCTTAACCTTCCAGCCCCATGGCATGAGGCCAGTCCTTGGGCTGGATCACACAAGTAGGGTCAGTCTATGGGTGCAATTCAGTGCTGGATCCAGGTCTGGAGTGACCCCAGGTACTGGTCCCCAGCCCTGCATGCTGGTCCAACTCTGGGCACCAGATCCAGCCACAGAGTGAACCTCATGTGCCAGCATAATCTGGCATGTGGGGCTTTTCATCCAGCCCATAGGGCTTCCGATGGATCTGGAAATTTGGTGGAAGGGGAGCATTAATTGCTGTGATTCTGGAAGCTTTGGCAATTGAATTCTGGTACTGCACCCCCATCACCAAATTTATAGACCCATAGGAAGCCCCACATGTCCTGTGAACCAGATATGGCCCAGGGGCTGGAAGTTGAACACCACTAAACTAATGGGTCAGACAGACTTGGTCTGTTAGTCGATGCTAAATATGTCTTAATCCATAATGAAATTCATGTACTCTTGGACTCTGCTAGATGAATAGATTGGAATATCACAGCAAAATTTTACTTAATTTTGCTACGCTTACTGATGCAACATAGTCTTACTGAATTAAGACTTTGAAATGGGGAATATAGCAACATTTAACATATAGTGTCTAATGTAGGGGCGGGCAATTATTTTGGGCAGAGGGCCACTTACTGAGTCTTTTGTTTTTCATGTAGCAGTAATATGTAATTCCTTTGGATTTTTTTTGGCGTTAATTAACGTTGACTGTTTGTTTAAAAGTATTACCTTAGAAGTGCTCTAATTAATCTGTTTCAAATATGTCTTGGAGAATATGAAGCCCCTTTAAAGTGTCTTTCCAAAATATTTGATAATCAGTATTTTAAATGAAAGCAGTTTTTTGTCTGAAGCTCCTGTGTTATCCTTTAAAATATTTGGGGCCTAATCCTGCTGTTGCTGAAATAATTAGGATTTTTGCCATTGGCTTCAGTGAGAGGCAAAATCATCCCATTTGCCAGACTCCAGTCCTAATGACTCATTACATACCACTTTCTAAAACTCATCTTCTTTGTTTACACTTGTGGTCATCTCTCATGCAAAAACTCCTAGAGGAAGCTTTCAGCTCAAATATCGCAACACCTGCTGTCCAAAGTAGGAAGATTCCATTTCTGCAATAGAAAAGAAATAAACTAATCTCTGTAGGATGTAGGTTACAGGATTCCAGTACAGAGAATTCTCCAGGTAGAAACAGGAGAAGAATTGGTTGATTCACAAAGATTGTTGTATTTTTGTATATTTTAGCATGTAAGCCACAAAATAGATAAGGAGGAAGAAATAGAAAACATGTCGAGATTCTGTGCATTAGCAGTGATTCAGGGTCTCTGCAAATGAGAAGGCCTCTCTATTCTATCCATCATCTTTGATAAGGCCAGCCATATCTGCTGGATTCAGAAACACATCCACTGGTGTTAAGAATTCATAGGCAGAGGATGATATAAATTTAATAAATAAAATGAGATGCATTAGAAATAAAATCACATGCCCTAGATCAACAGAAATACGAGCCTAGCTTCACATCTCTACATACCAGCCAGGGATGACAGGAAGTCTGGGTAAGCAGTGAGTACCTGTACAGTGCTTCTGCAGGCATGCTTACTTTGTGAGGTGTCCTGGTCTGTGGTCATTTTCTTGAGGTTGCACAACTCTGTGCCACCCCTTACCATGGCCACCCCTTACCATGGTATAGCCCCTAGACCTTTAATATGTAAATTCTTTTCTCTTTAAGTGAATACTCTAATGACTTAGAAGCTATATCTTATATTCTTTCTCTTTTGAATCATTCTAGTAGTACAGCTATACCTAGTTCAGTTGAGGGGACAGGACCCCAACTAGAAAGCTAATTTAGTTGTTTATTTGCAATGCAGCCATGCTTATGTGCAGTACAGAGGCTGCAAATTTAAGTAGTCTGTATATAATGGAGAATTTTAGTCTCGTGGTGATTGTAAATGACAGGTAATTTTTACTGGTCAGTATAGATGCATGGTAATCTGCATGCACTTGGACACCAGATTTAATACATTCAGATGCAAGGTCAGACCTCTAGAATACACTTGCAGGATGGGGGACTGTATTTTACAAGTCAGTTACTCTGAGAGGAACTTGTGGATCCTGGAGAATAACTAATTGAATATGAGCATCCTGTGCAACATTATGCTTAAGAAAATTAATGTAAATTTTGGATGTTTAAGTAGTGAAAGATCAGGTATGAGTAGGGAGTTGTATTTACAGAATTCAGAATTATCATGACTATTGCTGTAATACCATGCTCAGTTCTCATTCCATACCTCAAAAAGATGCTAATAAATTAGAAAGGGTTCTGACAAGGGCTACAAAATTCTTTGAAACTATCTGCCTAGATTAAAAATAATATATTTATTTTAACAAAGAGAAAAATAATATTGTGACTTGATCACAATATTGAAGTATCTTTGTGATGGAACATTTCTGATACTAGCAGATGCTTTAATCCAGCAAAGACTAGCTAGAATCTAATGATGACTGGATTCAGGCTAGAAATAAAGTGCTTATTTCAATATTGGAACCAGTTACTTAAGGTGTTGCAGATTCACCATCACTTCACAATGCATAAATAAGTGCATGTGATCCTTTGAAAACAGGAGTTTAAAGTGAAAATGAATATGCAACTTTAACACTAGCAACCACCACCACAACCTCTATAATACATATTATTTTATGGTGATAAGAGTTCTCAGTCTAAAGTGACAGATGCTAGTATAACATGTATGTTTGTGGTGCAAGGGAAGAGGAGAACGGACCTTGGCTCGCTGCAGCCAGATGCTACCGTAACAGGACAGCTGGCCTCGTCCCCCTTACTCCTGGGAGGCAGCAGCGATTGAGTGGACAGATCGGGGGACGAGGCCAGCAGTTCTGGCCTTCCCCACCACCCCCTGCTCCCTGGGTGCGGCAGCAGAACAGGGTGCTGGGTGGCAGTGCTCCATCTGTGCCCCTCTCCCCTGCCCCCGTCATTCATGGGGAGGGGAGGCAGATGGATGTGGGCCGGGTGGATGGGGGGGAAGCGGGCCTGGCCCCAAAACTGCAGTGGGGGGGCGACTGGGCCTGCCCTGGCTTGGCCTCAAAATGGCAGCGGGCAGTGAGGGGCATGCCTGGCCCCAGAATGGCAACAGGGAGGGGGCACGCCGGGCCTGGCCCAGCCTCAAAACGGCAAGGGGAGAAGGGCACCAGGCTGGCCCTGCAACAGCAGCGGGGAGGGGGAGGGGTGGCCTGCCTGGCCCCACAATGGCGGGGGGGGCCCAGGCCCAAAGGTAGTTGGGGGGATGGGAGTCCAGATGCAGGCCTTTGTCCCTACCCCCGCCCCTGTTATTCTTGGCAGTTGGTTAGTATATTTATGAAAACAATATCCCTCTTCAGTTAAGTGCTGAGTAGATTGAACTGAAGCTCAGAACAGCTGCTATGCCATCTTCTGACTTAGGCAATCTGCTCTTGAAGTTTGTTTTGCGAAACAGCAGAATTTTGATCTATATATTTTTAAATATGTGTTGATCAGTCTTTATGCTTCTGTTGATTAAATAATTCAACTAAAAGCAAAAAATAAGCTTGATATGCATACCTGTTCAAGCCATTTGGCTGTAGCAATATTCTGTGATAGTCTTTTGAGTCATGTGAAGGAAGTGATGTTTGCTTGTTTGTCACCTTGTCTTGATAAGTGTGTATTGATCTATTTAGGATATGATGCTTCAGCTGTTACGAGGGCTGGATTTTCTGCATTCACACCGAGTGGTGCATCGGGATCTAAAACCACAAAACATCCTTGTAACCAGTAGTGGACAGATAAAATTAGCTGACTTTGGCCTTGCACGAATCTACAGTTTTCAGATGGCTCTTACTTCTGTGGTAAGTTTCAGAATGATTTTATAATTTTCTGTACAAAAATATAACTTCCATATTAGTATTGATATGGATCCTGAGAGCTATAACTAGGCTTTTAAAACCCTCTCTTCATTTTAGATCACATATGTCTGTGAAAAAAGTAGTTTTCCAAGTTGGACTGTAGCTTCTGAACTTGTTATGGTTACATGAACTAGTTGCCTGAAAACAGGACAGTGAGCCAGAAGTTCCTGAGCTTTAATTTCAGTTGTGATACTGATTTCTTCTATGTATAGCTTGGGGCCAGCTCCTGTATCTCATTGGTAGTTTTGAAAATCCCATGCTTCCTAGAGCAGGATTTAAGGACTTTGGAAGAATCTGTGCATTGATCTGAATGGGAATCAGTGAAGATGATAGTGAAGTCTGAGTTCTGCAGAAAGATGGGATAGATTCTTTTTGAATTACTGTCACTTTTAATGTACCCAGTTATTAATCAGAAACATGAATATCCCCACTATCAGTTTCCATTGGGCCATAAATGGAAACTCCACTAAACTGATTGTCAGGAGTTCTGAACCTACTGCTATTTTTTTTTAATACTCCTATGTAAAAGAAGAAAAGAACTAATTAAAAAAAGGAAAATGTAATCCTAAGCAAGCCACCTTCTGTGATAAGAAATTCTGCAAGAGGACTGGAAACATGGAGTCAGAAAACCAAAGAGTAGAACTCACTAAGTAAAAATGGACTGAAACCTGTCTACATTTAGCACAGTGCCAGCACTGTTGGCTGAAAAAGAAAGAAAGAAGTGTCATAAAATATCTCAGTTCATCTAACCTAGGAAAATGAGTTGTTTCAAAACCTGTCAGCTAACTTGTTGTAACATGTCTTTAAGCACTGTGAAGCTCTTTTTGGCTGCATCTACACATGCAATTAATGTGACATGATAAACTCCGGAGCAGTTTGCTCCAGAGTACATTGCCCCGGGTGCAGCATCTTCACATGCATCCAGGGCAGCAGCACTTTGAGCTGGGGTGGAGCAGCCCTAGGCTGGTAGTGGGCTCGGGGAGGTCAGCCCTAGGCTCTGGGTGGTGGTGTTGGGCACAAGAGTGCTCAAACTGTGGAGCTGCGTGACTGATTTCCCTCCCCCCCCGAGCCTGTTGCCAGCCTGGGGATGCTCTGCCCCAGCTCAAAGTGCTGCTCTCCTGATCACCGTCCACTTGTGTGTTGCAGCTCAGTAAATGACTCTGTTGTAAGATAACACTATCCCTGACAGTACTATTTTATGGCAGAGTTAATTAATTTACTGTGCCCTGTTACTGGTGCATGTGTAGATGGTGATGCTTTACTGTGGAACTAGTCTACTCCACAATAAAATGTATGTGTAGATGCACCCACCATATACAAAGGATCTAGCTAGATCAGTGGCTCTCAACCAGTTGCCATAAGATCCTTTTAAGGATGCTGTGGGATGCTGCTTAATTTAAGCACTGTGATGTGTGCAGTCATGTACACATGATTCACAAGACAAACCAAGAGATTTCAAATAGGTGTCCATAGTAGTTAAAATATTCTGACCTGTTGTGGGCTCTCTGAATTCTTCGCAAACGGAAGAATCACTCTATTGTATTTTCCTTAGTCAAAAATTGAGTGAAAGCTAAGAGCTGGCATTTTCTGAGGGGTGCCTGGAGTTTAATGAGGGTACCTTGCATTTAAAAGGGTTCAAAGTTGCTGATTTGGAGTAGCTGCTCATCTTCCTCTCCCCCCCCCCCCAAACTGTAGTGCTTTAGTTCTACCAATATATTTACAATTAGTTAGTTGTAACTAACAGTACTGTTAGTATGGGTGCAATTGTACCAATAATTTTAAAGTGCTTATAATAGTACAGCTTAAGCTCAAGAGCAAAGAAGAGTAATTTTATATCAACATAAGGCTGCTGTAATGGTGTCCATCTATAGAGAAGGTACTGATATAATGTTTTTTTTTTAATTACACTCATATTCAAAATAATAACCTTGATATATTGTTTAAGTATAGGGCAGGTTTAAGGAAAGAAGATTGAATTCACTAATATAATTTGAAGCACTGGTTAGTACCTGATATCTTAGTTTAGCAGCTTTGAAATAACCATGGCTAGTTATGTACTAAACTCAAGAGAAGCCTACTCTACAACATCACCATTATGTGGTTTTAAACATTATGGTATTTGTCTACAATTATTAAAAGTATGTTATGTAATAATATATTTTAACTGACACATTTTAAAAGGTATTCTTTTTCCTAGTATAGGCATTCCCTTTATCTTTGGGAGACCTACCCTGTCCCAGTGGAATATATTCTAGATTACAGCCTCTTTTATGTCAGTGGAAAACTTCTGTCAATTAGTATGTCAATTTATAAATTTTGGATTTAAGCCCTATATAAAAAAAGTCATGGCACACACAGTCAGACAATAAAAGTACATTGTATGTGCTATCATTCTGATCAGGTGATATGAGAGCTCTGCATCATTTCCTTCAACAGAGGAGTTTGCAGCAAGATAAGCTACAAGAATCATCTTTTGTGGTATCAAATCATTCCCAAGATACATCCTCATTCTTTACTCACAAAAGAACTCTTCAGATGGGGCAGAAAGAGCTTGCCATGAAAGTAATCCAGTAAAAAGAACTGATCCAGCTCTAGTTCATTGGGTGCCGTAAATGAGTAACTTCAAAGCATTTTCTCTGTGATACCTAGTTACTTCCACAATGCTAAAGAATTCCTCTGGCAGGTCAGTCCTGTGGGCATATTGCTGTAATTTAAAAAAAAAAAACCCTCATGATACCTTCTCCAGCAAATGCATAAAAGGTTCAAGCTAATATGACATGTTTAGGGAGAGAACACTAGTCCCAACTGTGGTCAAATTGAGAACTGATACAGGTCTGAAATAACAGCAATAGAAAGAACCAGTTTTTTATTGGACAGCAAAGAACAGAGCAGGCTTTCAGTTTCTTATAAAGTTAGATTGTCTTGCAAGTGTTGGTCTTGGCCCTTGGGAGAATTTTGAATAGACTTTGTGATAACAGTTGTGGCAAGAGAATGTAGGGAGAAGGTTTGATGTGCCTATGTAAGTTTAGAGTTAAAAAGATAAGTCAATGAGCTGTTACGTTTGCCTGTGGTTCAGCAAAACGGACACTGAATCCCAGCAAAAGCAAAACTTGATCTACGCAAACAGGCATGTGACTATGCGCATTCACAAATGAAAATTTTGGGGCTATATTCTCTAAAAGGGTGAGGGGGGCAGTTATCTATTAATGAGCCATTCTTTGTTAACATCAGAATGCCTAAAAAAAGGATGTATATGAATTGTGCATCTGAAAACCAAATGAGATGAGCGTCTGCCATTCTGATTACAGATACTAGACACTGCTTTTGATGTCAAAGTTTTAAATCATGACTTAACTCCAAAAAAATCAAGAAAACTGGCAACATTCTAGTGTTTGTAATGAACTCATGGTAGCTGCTTTAAAAACGTGTGGTTTAAATTACGTGACAGTCCTGCTGAGTGTTTTTCCCTGTGAAATGCAAACAAATTTATTTTGTTTTGCTTTATTTCCTGAAAAACAAATCTTGATTTTAGAACTGCTGCAAGTTAGAAGGAAAAAAATGTCAATTTCTGTTTTAATGGACTAAATCATTTAAATAAGCATCAGCTAAAGATATTGAGAATTTTTAAAAATCCAGTTCTTATTTCAGTGAATATTTTTAGATTATGCTAGCATTCTGCTCAGAATAAAGACTTTCTGGGCAGTCACTTAAGCACACATGGTTTATATGTCACATCATGCAGGAACTTGGTTTTATTTTTTTGGTATAGTAGCAAGGGAGCATAAAGTTGGGCTTACTTTGTAAAAATAAATATATAAATTAGTTACAGCAACAAAAACAAGAACAAAATAAAAGTAAATAATTCTATTTCAAGGAGGAATGTTTTCTTCTACCCCACGTTGCATTGTAAAATGTTAAAAATAAAAAGAGTAAACACCTGTTAGTAAATAATGAGAACAATGTAGAAAATAAGGAAGGTTTTGACCTTGAGAGGTCATCCAGTCCATACTCCTGTCCCAAGGTAGGATGAGCTACATCTATATACCATTACTGACATATGTTTGTCTAATTCAGTTTTGCCCAACCTTTTCTCCCCTCAGGCTGGAAGTACAATGCCAGGTTGGTCCATGGACTAGATTGGTCTGTGGGTCTAATCCATCATGTGGGCTGGCCCACACTGGACCAGATCCCACCACGCAACAAGTCTGCCTGGGGCCTGAGGTAGTCATGTGGGGCTGAGACCTAATCCCTCTGCATGGGGCCGGGCTGGCTGGGGCCGATCCAGCCACAGGGGGCTTTGAAATGTGTTATTTGTTAATGTGTTAATTACCAATACCCTCCCCTCCCCCCAGTCAAATTTCTGGACCTGTGGGGAGTACCACGGGCTGGATCACATGGCTCCATGGGCTTGGCAAGGCTTGCAGGCTGGGGGTTGAACACCCTGATCTAATCTGTTTTAAAAACCTCTAGTGACAGAGATTTCACAGCCTCCCAAGGTTATCTTATTTCAGTGCTTACAGTTAATAAGTTTTTCCTAAGGTTGTATCTAGGGCCGTCCCTAGGGGGGTGCAAATCGGGGCGACTGCCTCAGCCCCGCATGTTAGGGGGGCCCCGCGGAGCCAGGTGGAGCAGCCACGGTGACTCTGCGCCGCCGCTGCTTGCTTCAAATCCAGCTGCTCACTACCCCCTCTCTCCCCCGCTGCTGATGCTGCCAGTGGCTGCAGCAGGTTCTCCGGGTCCAAGGCGTGTGGGATCTGAGTGGGAGCGGGACCTCGCATGGGCTGATTTGCCCCGGGCCCCTCACCCATTTAAATCCATTATTTTTTGCTTTATTCCTAGTAGATGTGGAGAACAATTTTTTAATTTTCACAGCACCGATCCTTTATAGATTTCAAGACTGTGATCGTGTCCCCCTTCTGCCTTCTCTAAATTAAACAAACCCT